GACTTGCATACTATGCATATATACTTGCATATTATTATCTTGATTCATTCTCTGGCTTTCTTGGTCAGTTAAAGAAGATCATGATTATGTAATGTAGCTGAGTTGGAATCAGTACAGTGTTTCTACACACTTCAGTGAGCTTTATGAAAATGTCACTGGGCACAGAGCTACCCCTACAAAATACTGAATGGGAAACTGAATAAGCCACAATGTATAATCGTGCTACTAGCAAGAAAAAAAGCTTCTCTAGACACTGAGTTTGAGTAATAGTTGCCTACTTCATTAATGACAGAATTCACCACAGATTCAGCAACAAAAACTTTAATGTTCTGCTGAAGAAAAGAAAGTCCCCTACATCTTGAACGGCCTAAGGGTGACTGAATTAACAGCAAACTGTCACTTGTCAAAAAGGAATAATCGTGCTACTAGCAAGAAAAAAGCTTCTCTAGACACTGAGTTTGAGTAATAGTTGCCTAATCCATTTAGATTAATCTCTTTAACTTTAAAAATAGGCTATTCTGTTAATATTTGATTGCTACTTCAGTCAGAAAATGAATTTTGGACTGTCAAAGCGGTGTTTTATAGTCCAAACAAATTGTAATTTGAAAGCAATATCGTCCAATAACGAAAAACATAACGGCTACGGTTCATTTGATCAAATCCAATCAAATCCTGTCTCCAAGGAACTCCAAAGCGTCTCTCAAATCCAAACAAGCTCGGTTCTTTCCGTAAAAAAACAACGGTTTTTGCCGAACACACTCGTTTTTTTCGCGAGAATGGAGCGATTTTTGACGAAGCTAGAGGGTTGATTGGAAACGTCTCGGATCTTCTCGTACTGAGAAACGATTTCAGCCGAACTCACTCGTCTCTTTCCGTCTGGAGGCGCGAATAAAGCCGATTCCATGCTCTGCGCTTGCGACTCTGGCACATCACTCATTTAGCGTTGTTTTGGTCTTGACCTATCCTACTTACAAGCGCGTTTTCCTCAAACAGCAAAATGGAAACAGCTAACCAGGTAATATAAATAGAGTGTTGTTTTACATTTGACAGTAAATTGGAGACTGGGGATACATGTTTAAAACGTGTGTGTAATTGAACTACATTAAATAGCGTTATCATGTCCGTTTGGTGTTACAGATTGTGTCACTCGGGACATTTCAAGTGCTTAAATTACCTTTGGGATTTATTCGTCTTCTGGAATGGGTAAGTGTGCTTAAAGCACGCGGTTTTTCCTCTCACCTTTTCTGTAACTCTTTCCTTTACTTTTCTCGATAAACTTGGTCCAGGCATGTGCAGGAGAGACTGATTTTTTTTTTTTTTTTTTTTTTTTTTTTACTATCGTTTCGTTTTGACCATCACGTGCTGTTTTAATAAGTAAATGTACTACAGCCATGCATGTTTACTATAGGACCCTTAATCCATTTGCGCATTTCTATTAGCCTGTAAGAAGCATTGGAAATGGGCATGTTTACCGAATATCGTGCATATTTAAGTTTTGCATAACTGTAAACATGTAAATAACTCCTTATTAGTGCAAGTGAGATATTTTTATGTCATGATTAATTGCATATGAACAGAGGAACATGCTTATATAATGCACCAGCAGCCGGTTCAGTTCATTGGTTTTGCTCTTTATCACTTTATTTTTGAATATGCCTTCCAAACCTGATTTCTGAGCAAACTATAAATAAATAATTAATATAATGACATTATAGTAAAAGCATTGCAATTGACCTTTTTATTTTTTCCTCGTGTGTTCTGTCTATGCATAAGAGCTTGTGTGTATAAACAGATGTGTAAATACATGTAAATACATCACTTGCTTTGAAATGTGTTCTGTTTTAGCTTAATCTGGTGCACTGAAGCCAATATAATAAACTATGTACAGAGAGAGAGACATGTTTGTTTGCATAACGTGTCACTTGCTTTATACTTGATGTAGCCTATAAACACTGGTTAAGTAATTATGAACATCTTGCTTGATACATTGCAATCATCTAAACTAATTTGGGGTGGCTAAAAATCAGTATAATTTCGGTCTGATTTCACCAGAAATTACAATCCTGCCACTAATTGTAGCCTCTAGTGTAAAGAAGAAGAAAAAATAAGCTAAATTGTGTTTTCCTACGGCCATCTGATGATTGTGGGTTAGGAAAGTGTGTGTTGGACTTGCCATAGTGTCACACTCTGGTGCTCTGACATAATCTGGTTGATGAGACCCAGAACGTAACTGATCTCTGAGGACATTTCCAGCTTCTGTGCATGTGCGTCCATCTGTAAGTCTCTCTGGAGTGCTACTGCTGATATGTGGCTAACATCAGACCCTTTGCACGACACTTCAGGATTTCCAGAAACAATTAGGAAATTGTCTTGTAAAATGAGATGCTATCATTACAACATGGCAAGACATTTGTAAAACTCTGATTAATGTAGTCTGATTTATCTTGCCTTGAAAACCTATTTGGAATGTCAAATTTGTGCAGCCTGATTTTTTATTAACATCATTACTTGTTGCCTAGATTATAGAACAGAAAGGAACTGATAAAAATGTAAATGAGTAACTTGAATGCAATGTAAAGCACTTAGAATGAATGCTTTGCAAAAGGCATAAATGTAAATGTGAAATAGAATAAAATAGAATAGAATAGAATAGAATAGAATAGAATAGAATAGAATAGAATACTTAATGTAATGTAATATAACGTAAGTCACTTTGGCTGTAAGTCTTTGCCAAAAGCATAGATAAAAATATACATTTATGTAAATAGAATGGGAAAAAATAGGATAGAGTATGAGTAAACTGAACTGAGCTTCTAAAAAATGTGAATGTTTATGTTGACTGCAATGAAAGTAACTCTGCAAAAAGCATCTGTCAAATGCAGAAATGTAATTACAGTATAGACTGCAATAGAACTGAACATAACTTCAATAGAGTTGAAATTAACTAAAAAATTTAAAAGTGTACCTTGAATGCAGTGTTATTTTAAATAGAAATATATTTTAAAAGCATGGAATAGAATAGAATAGAATAGAATAGAATAGAATAGAATAGAATAGAATAGAATAGAATAGAATAGAACAGAACAGAACTGCTAAACATATAACATGCAAATATGTATATGCACTTTGTATAAAAGCTTTCTTTCAAATGCATAATAATCGAACAAAATAGAATACAAATTATTAAAATGCAAATGTGTACACTGACTGCACTGTTAGCATTTGCAAATATGTATATATGTAAAATCAGAAAACAATAGAATTTTGTTTAAAAAAAAAAGAATACGTCTGAACAGAACTGATAAAGCATTAATGGTGTACCTTAAATGCAAGGACAAAAAGATAAAAGCATGTGCAAATGTAGAAAATTATAGAACATTATAGAATAGAATAGAATAGAATAGAATAGAATAGAAATGGTAATGTGTACCTTAAAAGCTTAATGTAAAAACAGAATTTAAATAATAGAAAAGAAAATGTAAATATCCTCAGAATGCAATGTCACTTTGTACAGTAGCATCTGCTGTAAATATAGAATATAGTGGTAAAATAGAAGTATATATATTGTATGCAAAAAAAATCGCACTTTGGAAAAAATAGAATAGAATAGAAATGTAAATTTGTATTTTGAATGCAATGCAGGTCACATTAGATAAAATCAAAATTGCAATATATATAGATATAGATAAGTAATTAAGAGTTTCGGATGTAATTTTGTCCCATTCTTCCTGCAAACAAGTCATACAAGATGGGCAGCAGTATAGGGCCTTCGTTGCTGCATGTTGTGCTTCAAAATGTGCCACACATTCTCTATTGGAAACAGGTCCGAACTGCAGACAGGCCAGTCAAATATCTGTATTCTATTCCTCCACATACAGGAATTTGTAATGTGTGCAAAATGTGGTTGTGCATTGTCTTGGTGAAATGTACATATGCATATAAGACAGGTCGTAAAACAATAGAACGCTGGTCAAATGAATGTGTTACTTTGCATATATATATATATATATATATATATATATATATATATATATATATATATATATATATATATATTTTTTTTTTTTTTTTTTTTTTTTTTTTTATCAGAAAAAGTATTTGTATCTTCAGCTGTTCTCACGAAACTAACTGGTCAAAGTCAAAAGGTCAAGTACTCTTCCAGACCCTTTTCCATACTCCAAATGTATGGAGAGGAGGAAATTAAAACAATTATTTCATCATCCACAAACTACTCTGAGCAATGCAAATGTGAGGCTGCCATAAGTGGCAACGCCATTTTGGATAATTATTGCAATTGAATGCTGGGGGATTGGAGGATGTGATGCATCTTCTCCTGAGGAAATTAATCTCCACGCTCTCCATTTGAAGTGTCCTCTGAAAAAAAAAGCTTATCACAGGGGAAACATGCAGTCCTAATCACTTTTGGTCACACAGTGGCTTTTCTTTCTGTCTTTTTGTGTGTATCTCTCTCTCGGCAGGTCTTTGGTTTTGTCTCCTCCTCTACAGTTTCCACTCTGCCATTTTTTTAAACACAGTGATTCCTACACAGCCTTCCTCTTGAAATTTGCTCTCTCCCACATCTCTCTCTCATTCTCTCAAAAGCTATTATTTGTGATAATTAACCAATTCTTAAGCTGTTGAAATGAGATGACTCAGTGAGACCAATGACCCATATAAAATATGCAAAATAATATATCTGGTACGCTTTTGTGACAGGAAATAACAGAATAATAAAATAAAATATAATATGTTTCTATAGGGGGCGTCACGGTGGCGCAGTGGGTAGCATGATCGCCTTACAGCAAGAAGGTCACTGGTTCAAGCCTCGGCTGGGTCAGTTGGCATTTCTGTGTGGAGTTTCCTATCCCATGTACTCCGGGTGCTCCGGTTTATTGATATGTTGTATAGGTGAATTGGGTATGCTAAATTGTCCATAGCGTATGAGTGTGTTGATGTTTTCCAGTGATGGGTTGCAGCTGGAAGTGCAACCGCTGTGTGAAACATATGCTGGATAAGTTGGCAGTTCATTCCGCTGTGGCAACCCCTGATGAATAAAGGGACAAAGCCGAAAAGAAAATGAATGAATGAATGCTTCCATATGTTTAGTTTAGCATTTGATGTATACTCACAGTCAAAACATTGTAAAATATTCTTTATTTTGCATTTGCATATTAAAACATGAGATTGACCAAATGTTCCTAAGGACAGTGTTTTTATTATAGAGTGATTAGATTAAATAGGAAAATAGGATTTTTTTTTTTTTTTTTGACAGATAGTGCAAAAGATGAGGTAAACAGTCAAAGTCCAACAATAGGGAAAAGTAGTGCAGAACAGCCCTGAATGACCGCTGACACCAGCCACAGAAGATTACAAGCTGGAGGACTGCGAAAGAAAAAAAATACCAGACTAGGTAGAAGGTGGTGGAGACCTAAAGACGCACAGCAGAGAACAGAGAATGACAATCTCTGTATTAGGACAGCAGATAGCAGTCAGGGACTCACATGTGTCAGGGCAGGACAAGTCAGGACAGACATGGGGAATACAAAGGGACAAGAAGAAAACACAAAGAAATACAGGTAGAATAACTCTAGGCAAATAACAAAAACTAAAATAACTTAATACAAAGGCGTCACGGTAGCACAGTGGGTAGCAGGATCACCTCACAGAAAGAAGTGCACTGCTTCGAGCTCTGGCTGGATCAGTTGGCATTTCTATGTGGAGTTTGCATGTTCTCCCTGTGGATGGGGAGCATTTTGATTGATGTAGTGGGCCACTCTGGCCCAAAATGCCAGGGCTGATTTTTTGTCCCAGTTCAGCCCTAATCATAAGCATATTCTTACTCTCTCACTCACACACACATACTAATTCAAGTATTGTGTTTAAATAGCTGTCAATTAACACAAAGAATTTCAAACATTTGTTTAATTTAATCTGCAATAAGCTTGGCAGGAAAGGGGTGCTCTGATTTATGATTATTTTAGTCTACTTGATACATCAAACGTTTAATGACTCATACGGTTTATAGAGAGAGCACAGAGCAAAAAAGCTGTTTAATTTTACTTAAATAGAAGTTAGGAAAACAAATGCTATTGAATTGACTCTTCGCTAACCCCCGTCCTCCTTTGTTACTGTTGCTACGCCTGTCAAGCTTTCGTGCCTGGCACGGCTTTTACAATGTGTAAGCGCCAGTGTCAGACATTGCCAGGGATATAATGCCTACGTTGCACACTTACACAGAGCCCAAAATAGAAGTTTGTGATTGGGTCAGCCCAATGTCAATAAAGAAAAGAACCAATGGGCTGCAGATTGTGTCACATGGGCCGCTCTGTCTGGAAAAGAAACTTCTTACTTTCAGAGCGTCACAGCTCACAGGATCGTCAATCACTTAGGCAGACAAAACATGATAGTCTGCTAAGTGTTTTATGGGCCGATCAGATCATAAGAAGATGATCAGCCCGGCCCAAAAAGTATGTCGGCCCAGCGGGTAACTGCCCGGTCTGCCAGATGGCCAGTCCGCCCGTTTATGATGAGAGATGTGCATCTGTAGCATCTGGCAGAAGTCGAGATTGAAACAAATCACATAGACTTGGATGGATACCATGCAGGTATATTTTTCTGATATGCGTCTAGTTGAAGTGACATATTTGCATGTTCTCCCCGTGTTCGCATAGGTTTCCTCCAGGTGCTCCGGTTTCCCCAACATGTCCAAAGACATGTGGTATATGTGAATTAGGTATGCTAAAATTGATCTTAGTGTATGTGTGTGAATGAGTGTGTATTGATGTTCCCTAGTGATGGGTTGCAGCCGGAAGGGCATCAGCTGTGTAAAACATATGCTGGAAAAGTTGGCGGTTCATTCCGTTGTGGCGACCCCAGATTAAAGCAGAAAAGAAAATGAATGAATGACGTGACATATTATATTTTCCAACATATGCACTTACAGCACAGGTGTGAGTGAACTCACTAGTTTGATTGGAGAAGAAATCCAACATGCGTGATATACAAAGAGAAGATAAATAAAAATGCATAACCATGTAGAGACATAAATAACATGCCATTCTTACAAAATAACACATGTACAACATACATACAACATAACATACTTACTTACTTTTAATATCATAAGTTTTATATTTTATATTGAAGTTGATATTTAGCCGCACGATATTGGTGTTTCGTAACATCTTATTTTTATGAGGTGGGTCATTAGTTCAACACTCAACCGCCAACCTGGAGGACCAGGACACACACTACAGACTTAGCTAGCCCTTGATTATGGACTTGTCAGGGAAACAGGAGCACCTGGAGGAAACCCATGCAAACACAGGAAGAACATGCAAACTCTGCACATAAATGTCAACTGACCTAGCCAATGGTCGACCCAGCAACATTCTAGCTGTGAGGCGACAGTGCTACCCACTGCGCCGCCTATTGCACCCACCATCTATTTAGTTTATTAACTAATAGACCTGTTCTGTATAAAAGAAACTTCAAATGACTTCTGTTAATTTATATAATATCTTGACTTTAAATGGGGGTGGTCAGTTCCATTGGGGGGCATAATAAAATAGTACTAGAAACACTAGTAAGTGGAGGACACTATACACTCTGAGAAAAAAATGGTACAATGTTGTACCAAAGAACGTTCAAGGTTACAGAAGTAACCCTTCGTTCGCCGAGGAGGGGAACGGAAGTGCTATTAAGTGGATTTGATATTGAAAATCCACGTATGGGAAGGATTCGGTTCAGAAGCCGCTTGTCTGAAAGAGTATTGAACGGGCCAATGAATGCAATGAATTGGCAGCGTAAGCTTGCACAGGTGTGCTTCATTGCCAATTATCCCAGCATATAAGCACACCTGGAGCGAGCAAACGCCATCCTTTTAAGCTGAAGAGACTTTCAAACAGCTAAGGGACAGTCATTATGGCAACGGAGTATAGCACTTCCGTTCCCCTCCTCAGGGAATGGAGGGTTACTTCTGTAACCTCGAACGTTCCCCTTCGGTTGGGGAACTTCAGTGCTATTAAGTGGATTTGATATTGAAAATCCACGTATGGGAAGACTATGGAAAGCGCTATAATGACTGCACCTTACCAACGCCCCCGATGAGGGGATAGTCAAGCAAGTGTGACGCACCCACATCATGGGAGGTGCGGTCCTCCAACGTGTCCCTGGCCCTAATTTATCCTACTTCAACAGAAGTTTTACGGATTAGATATATTTTTTGGGAAGTTGTGAGCATCTAGATAAGTCTAGGAAAATACGACAGTACGTTGGGAAGCGTGCAATCCCGATAGGGAAGACGCTGTGGAGGCCTTACGCTACCCAAGGAGGGAATAGATGGCAGAATTTACATATGGACTAGCCCTAAAAAGGGGGAGTATGCATAGCAAAAAAGTGGTTAGCGGAGAGGGAAGACACGGGTCCACCCAGGGGGGGGACTTAACCGTGGCGGAATAAGCATATGGGATCGCCTAGTGGGGATCACGCATAGCAGCCACCTATACCCAAAACGCGGGCTGACCAGCGGGCAGACCTACAACGTAGTGGGCCAGCAAGTGACTCCTCCGCTGAGTCAGTGCTGGGGGCCATGGAGGAATCTCCAGGGCTCACCTGACGGGGAACTTTACTAACAGATAAAAAGGCGCACGTACCTCCGTATTAAGGAGAATGGCACAGCAAGCGTGTTTCAACACCCTACCAAATTGTTTCCTCAATCACCAAAGGGTTACCTAATACCCTTGAGGAAACCGGCTCCACTCGCAGATTGTAAAACCTTGCAAATGTGCTGGGTGTCACCCAGCCCGCAGCTCTACAGATGTCTGTTAGAGAGGCGCCGCGTGCGCGCGCTCGAGAGGATGCTAAGCTCCGAGTGGAGTGCGCAAGCACTCTCGGGGGACGCGGCTCACCTCGGCTCTGATAAGCGAGAGAATGGCATCCACAAACTAGTGGGACAGTGTCAAACTAGTGTCTTCAGGGACAGAAAAATACTGAGTCAAGGATCGAAGGGATCTGACGCGGCTCGTGTAACGAGGGCGAGATCCTAAGAGGGCATGAGAGGGGGCGGGGTGGATTAATTCGCCTAGCGCCCCTGAGGAACCGGATGATGAGGTTATGCGTTCCCATGATGCTACCAGCCACCGCGTCATGAAAGCGGAGATGGCAGCCACGTAACCTTGAGTGTGGAGGGCGACAGCCTGCTCTCCAGCTTCTCTCGGCGTAAAGAAAGCACAACGCTGATCTGGCAAATTACGGGGGTCTTCTCTGCGAGAGATGCATTCAGTGAATAGACTCCACTTCAGGGCATAGGCGCGCTCGGGGAGGGGGCTCTAGCCTGAGTGATGGTATTATCCACCGCAATCGGAGGTTACCTAAGTCTTCCTCGCGTCTAAGGACCTCCAAAGATCGGCGAGGGTGCCAGATGGTGCCCTGTCCCTGAGAGAGTAGGTGCTCTCTCGAAGGGAACTGCCAGGGGAGGGCCATCGCGAGGAGAGAGAGCTCTGACATCCAGGTCCGGTTGAGCCAGAGGGGCGCAACCAGCAACCTGTTCCTCATCCTCCCTGACCTTGCACAGTAATTGCGCAAGTAGGCTCACTGGGGGAAACGCGTATTTGCGCATGCCCCGAGTCCAGCTGTAAGCCAGTGCATCTGTGCCGAGAGCACTCGGTCAGGGAAAGAACGACTGGCAATGAGCAATCTCGAGGGAAGCAACAGATTGAACTGGGCTTCCCCGAATTGCGCCCATATCAGCTGAACAGACTCGGGGTGGAGTCTCCATTCTCCAGGACGTAAGGCTGCCGTGAGAGCGCATCGGCTACACGGTTGAGCTTGCCTGAATATGAATGGCGTGCAGCGATTTCAGCCACGGATGACTCCAGAGGAGCAGACGGCGGGCGAGCTGAGACATGCGGCGAGAGCGCATACCCCCCATACGGTTGATATACTGTACGCTGCCCCCGCCGTACTGTCCGTCCTGACCAGCACGTGTTGCTGCTCCAGCACTAGAAAAAAACGGTGGAGAGCGAGGAACACTGCCAACAGCTC